ACAGGACCACCGGGCCTCGGGCCAGCAGCATCTGCACTTTATGCGCGCGCGCGCGGCCGAGACACTACAAAACCGAGGAAACAAGGGCAAGAGCAAGTCCAGGGGCCGGGCCGAGGTCACGCGGAGAGGTCACTGTTATCAAAACGCTCCTGGTCGTACACTTCAGCCACCACCTTGCGGCCGGCGAACCAGCGCCCGTTGAGGGCCTGGATGGCCTTGTGAGTCTCGGAGGCCATGGAGAACTCCACGAAGATCTTGACGATGATCTCGGCGTCCTCCTCCTCGCCCTGCTTCTCCTGGTGATGATGATGTGGTTGATGGCCCCGAACTTGCCGCACGGCTGGCGCTGCTGCTGGAGATGCTCATGTGCTCCTGCTCACTCAGCATCTCTGGCCGCTCGGACTCGGGGAAAAGCTCCTCCTCCTCCTTCTCCTTCTTGGGCTCCAGGAGGCCCAGCGTCGGAGGGCTGGCAAGGATGGGGTTCACCACGCCCACAGAGGGGATGGTGACTGGGATGGGAGGCCGGGCCGGGGTCACACCTGCAGCCAACACACCAGGTCCAGCAGTCACTCCCCACCCCCCCTTCCCAGGAAGGAGCACAGCACCCGCACCCCGGCTGGCCTGCCTGGAGCTTGGAGGCCAGTAAGCTCGGGCAGCGGGGGAAGTGAGCCCAGAGGAGAGAGGCAGGGGGAGGTGGGAAGCCCTGACCCCGCAGGCTCACCTGTGATGACTCCTGGGGCCTGGGCAGCCATGACAGCCTGAGGTAAAGCCCCCAAGGGCTGGGCCAGAGTCAGTGCAGGGGATACCAGTCCAGGGGTGGCCAGAGTACCCAACACCGCTGCTCCGGCCACCGCTTCCTGCAACCGAAAAGGCCACCACACTGAGTCCCAAGCCTGGCCGCCTCCACTCTATGCCACCCGGAGAACCAGTCAGTCCCCAAAGCACTGGGGGCCTACTGCCCAGGATTGAACCCACACAACTGTACTAGCCCTCACCTGAGCCGTAATCTTGGCTGTGGCTGCAGCTGCAGCCACAGCAGCAGCTGGCGGGAGGCCTCCAGGTGTGGCAGGTGTAAGCAGGGGCATAGGGGGTGTGACAGCCTTGCCCACCCGCAAATACTGGCCACCCAGGTCAAAGAGGTTCATGGAAGACACGGCATCTTGAGACGACTGGGCCTTCTCATACTCTGCAGGGCAGGAGCAGCAATGAGGGCCAGCCACAGAGTGGAGTGGGCCCCAGCCCAGGCCGTGCCTCAGCCTCCCCAAGCTCACCAATGAAACCATAGCCCTTGTGCTTGCCGGTCGTGGGGTCCCGGGCCAGCGTGCAAGATTTGATCTTGCCAAAGGCCTCAAACACGCTCTTGATGTCATCATCTGAGAGGTCCTGATGCACAGAAGCCACGTAGATTCGGTTGAAGGCACGTGCCTCTTCCGCCAGCTGGTCTATGATGGGCTGGGCCTGCCCTATGTTGCTGGGCCTGCCCACCTGGGGGAGAGGCAGGGGACCAAGAGCCGCCAATCAGCCAAGGCTTGGCCACTTCAGGCCTCCGGGGGGCGACCGCATCTCCTGGGTGAGTGGACAGAACATCTCCCATCAGCCCCAGGGCCGCTTCCCTGGCACTCACCTTGATGTTCCTGCCGCCCAGCATCACCGAGTTCATCTGCTCCAAGGCCAGCTGCGCAGCCTCTGGGACCTCGTACTCCACAAACGCAAAACCCTGGACACAGGATGTACCATTAGGCCTGGAGAGCCCGGGGACGGGGGACGGGGGGGGACAGGGCAGAGCCAATCTCACCTTGTGCTTCATGGTGACCGAGTCCCAGGACATGTCAATGCTCTTGATGGGCCCAAAGGGGGCAAAGGCCTGGCGAATGGTGTCCTCACCCAGCTCATAGTAGATGGAGCCCACGTAGACCCGGCACATGATGGCCAGTGCCCGTTGCCGCTGAGCTGCCATCTGGAGCAGGACACAAGGGGAGAGAGTGCCACTGGCTTGTGACGGGATGGCAGGAGGCTAGGCAGCCCACGCCCCTCCTGGCCCACCCACTCAGCACCACTGTGGTGAGGGCTCCCCACGCAGCAGCACGGTGCAGGCTCAGCCCTGCAGACAGGGTGGTGAGGGTCCGCAGAACCCTACCCCAGGAAGGAAGACCAGGCCCAAAGGCAGGACACGGACACCGGGCCCGCCCAGGTCCTGGCAGACTGGCAGCAAAGCTGAGAGGTGGCTGGGAGGCAGGGCCGTGTGCCCTCCCGCCCAGCCCCCGCTCCAGCCTGGAGGCCAGGAGTCCTGGGCTGGGCCGGGAGATCCTCCTGGGGTCCTGACCACGTGTTCCAGCAGATGAGGGAAGGGGTGCCATCCCAGCTGGAAGGACCCGCTGGTGTGGAGGCAAGAGGGGGACACAAGGCAGGGCGCCCAGAAGAGACCCCAGGGAAGGTCAGGAGCCCAGATTGGGGGCTCCCTGCAGAGAGAGTGAAGAATAGCTACTTGTGCAGGGCCAGCTCAGGCAGAAGCTCAGCAACTGCAAGACCCCATGCCTCAGACCCTCACCAAAGAGCTGCCTGGAGCCCACCCCCGCACCCAGGGGACCTGGCCCCAGGAACATCAGGTGACAGGTCTGGGTGACAGGTCTGGCAGGCCCAGGGCAGGCGCTGCCTCTGTGTTGGGGTGAGTCTGGCCATTGTGCTTAGCGACTTCCCATACCCCCAGGGAAGGGGTTCCCATTCCTGCCACCTCAGACACAACGTGCCAGGCAGGGGGTGGGGGTGTCTAGAGCCACAGCAGTGGGCCCCCAAGAGGAGCTGGGCCCGGGGAAGAGACCACAGCCAAGGGCAGGCAAAGATGATGGGGCCCTGGCTCTAGCTTTTCCACCAACAGGGGTGCCCCTCACCCTCACAAAAAGTCCCCATAACCAGAGGCCCATTTCCTTCTTTAGACACCAGCTTAGTATAAGCTGGGCATCCCCTCCCTCAAGGAGGGACCTAAAAAAAAGGTCCACAGCTCCCCCAAAGAAGGAATTCCCCCAATTGAGCACCTCCTCAAACTGGGCTCCTGACAAACAGGCCTCAGGCTCCCTGTTGAGACCAAGGACCCCAGAGATGGGACCACGACCCTCTCACTAGGCACCCGAGACATGACCCCACCTGTCCCTCCTCAAAGCCCCCAAGGCAGAAGCACATCCCTCTTCCGTGGGAGCGCCCCAAGCAGGTGGGCGAAGACCCTCTCCCTGACGCTCCCCACAGACAGACGCTTCCCAGAGAGGACACTGGGTCTGTCTGGCCCTTGAGGACAGGACCTTGCTAGCCTGTGAGAACAGCATGCCCAGGAAGGGCCCCCAGAGAAAGGGCCATGTTCCCAGAGGGGTCCCTGGCCTCCTCAGCCTGCCTCTGGGGGATGGAGGGGTGTCTCCTCCCCAAACTCCTCTGCCCGTGGCAGCCAAGGCCATGGCTACACCTCCTCCCTGGCCGCAGGCCCTGGGCCCCTTGCTCATAGCCAGGCCCAAGGCCCAAGTTCTTGCCCTTCCCTCTCTCGCTAGCTTGGGTTCCCCCAGCCCCACCTTGTCCATCCATCCTCCCTCCAGGGTCTGACGGGGCCATGAGTTACGACCCTTCTCTTCTCAGGGCCTGACCCCAACCCAGGAGCCAAGGCAGCCTGGAGACTGGCGGAGCTGGAGGCCTGGGCGGTGCACCTGTTTGGAGGCGGCACGGGTACAGGTGGGCCAGGCGTGGGCACCTACCCTCCTGGCCGGCTGCCCTCCGCAGTTACCTGACCCTCAGAGCAGATGGAGGCCTCCCCGGGGCGGTCCCAGGTGGGTGCCCGCCCACACCACTGGCCCCGCCACGCCTGGCGCTCTGTTGCGCTCGTCCGAGCTGGCGGGCAGGGCCGGCTCGGGGAGCAAGGTCCCCAGCACGCGGCTGCACTGCCCCCCTCTAGCCCTGACTAAGGACATGAGCCCCGGAAGAAGTGAGCATTTCTATTGACCGATTGCAAAGGTGAGAGAGGATCTCCAAAGCCCATTGTCACTGCTGCCATCTGAAAGACAGTAAAGACAGAGTTCAGTCTGTTGGAGCCGAGCAGTCTCCCGCTCTTGTCACACCTCACGCAGACAGCGGCAAGGCCCGGAGTCCCCGCCCTGCCAAGAGGCCCGCTTGCCTTCCCACATGGCCGGCCAGTGGCGGCTGCCAGCACCTGCCCAGAGGGGCCTCAGAGCCCCAGGTGCCCCGCCCCACAGCCTGGCCGGCCGGGGGCAGAAGGAAGGGAGAGGGGAGCGAGCGGAAGGGAACAGCCAGGCATCACCTGGCTGTGTGAATGTGAGGGGCTGGGCAGGGGCGGGGGCTCAAGGCCCAGGCACCTGTCGGCCTCGCCTGGCCTGGCCTCATCGCAGCTTCCAGCCACAGGTCTAAAGCAGGGCCCTATGGAGGCGCCCGAGCCCGTCCTCAGTTCCGGGCCCCAGCCCATGTGGTCTGGACTCGCTGCGGGGGTGGGAGCCTGACCGTTCTTATCCGAGGCCATGGGGGCAGGGAGGAACGCCCCTACGTGCTGCACCGTCAGCTGTGCAGCAGGGGGCACGGGCGCGGGGCGACCTGAGGCAACAGTCTGAAGTCCGAGAAGAGGAGCTGGCTCGGGGAGCGGGCAGAGCTACAGAGAAGGGGCGGGAGGGGCCGTGGGTGCTCAACAGGCAGATAAGGTGGTTACTCATGGCTGGGGAGGACCCAGGCGTCCCCAGGAGGAGTCCTTGAGAAACCGAGACCACACACCTGGTGGGGAGCCACAGGCGCAGGAGAGGAAAAGAAGGAGGCGGTGGGAGGGTGTGGAGGGCGGGCGGCGGCTCACCTGCAGGTTGGTAAGCTGCTGCTGCTGGTGCGCGATGGTCTGCTTCACCAGCACACTCTTGATGCTCTGCTCCATGGCGTACTTCTTGGCCTGGGAGAGAAGGCGGTGAGGAGCACTGGGGGCCCGGCCTGTGGGGAAACGGGCCTTCTGCCCCAAGTGGCTCCCCACGCCCACCCAGCCCTGGGAGGTACACGCTCACCTTCTGGAGGGCCTCCTGCTGCTCGGGCGTCAGAGGAGGCAGTCCCAGCTTTGTGGCTGTGCTCTGCCCGTTCTCCATCTTGATGGAGTCTGTCCCCTAGTGGGGGGAGCAGGGAAGTGTTAACAACAAGCTCAAGGCCCCCCTCCTGTGGACCCAGGAGCACACAGGTCCCAGCACGCTCGCCCGCATGGCCTGGTGCAGTCTCCCCCAGGACCATGGTCAGGACGTCCACCGAGGCAGCAGGTGCCTTGGGGGCCCTGGACCAACCTGGAGCAGCTGCAGAGCCCAGCCCAATGGCCTTCTCGGCAGCCGACAGGTGGCAGGTGGCCAGCCCTGGTGGCCAGCCCGACTCCAGAACCTCCGTCCCGGGCCGGGCAAGAGTCGGCCCTGGCTGTCCTCCAGGACAAGGGGGAGGGGGTCGGGGGTCTGGATGGTCCAGGGCCCCCCACTCCAACTGCCACCTGGTTGTGGCCCCAGACGGCCAGACTCAGCTCTCCTGCTGGGGAGGACTTCCAGGAACCACTGCCCGAGCATGTGTGGGAAAGGCCCCCACCTGGTGCAGTGCTCCAACCCCCACTCCCGCACCTGTGCACACGGCCCAGTGGGCCTGGAGATGTTCTCCCAGGCCCCACGACCCTGAGGAGGCTCCTGCCCCTTTGCCAGACTCTTCCCTGGTTTGTGTGAACTAATATAAATTCAAAATAAACATCATTACATAAAAGGGTACGGTCTTTTTTTTTTTTTAGTTTTATTCATTGCAAACGGGCCGGATCCGGCCCGCGGGCCGTAGTTTGCCCACGGCTGGGCTAGCCCCTGGGAGAAGCCAGGCGCAGACCCACCAGGGAGGGAGAGGAGGACCAGACACCCTCCAGCACCTGGCAGATGAGCACAGGGCCCAGGAGAGGCTTTGAGGGAGGCAGGCAGAGCCCGCTGCAGACCTGAGAAGATGCTACTAGGATTATGTTTACATTCCTCTGCCAAAATTCATTTCTAGGCTGTGTGAGAGGGAAGAACACAGCCATGTAAGCAGAAATATAGCCACCAGACCAAGTAGAGTGTGGGTGTCGGAGCACCCCTGCCTGCCCACCAGCTCGGGCTGGGGGCTCCCAAGCAGCTGCAAGGAGACCCGCTGGCCCCTCCAGAGGGGCGTTCTGAGCCCTGGGCATTGCAGCCTTGGGAGGGACAGCAGAGAAGAGAGGCAGGTCTCAGCACAGGAGTGATGCTCAAGGACAGAGGAACTAAGGAGTCAGGAAGGGGCTGGCTGGCCCAAACTCCCAGAACCAGCATCCTGACCAGCACAGGTGAAAGGGCAGGAGGCCCCTCCCCTGGCAACCCAGCTGGCCCCAAGCCCAGTCCTCCTTAGTGGGAGAGAGGCCCCCAAAGCCAGGGGCTGCATGCTAGAGCAGGCTGTCACCATGGTCATGGATGCCAACCCCCATTCAGCCCTTAGAAACTTTTCAATCTCCTCTTTGTCTTCGTAAACAAAAGGCCCTTCTCTCACCACCAATGGCTGCCTGCACAGCCACCAGGGCCAGGAGGGCCGGTTGGAGGAGCTCCCTGGCCCCCTAGCCCATCAGCTGCAGCCCCATAACTTCCCAGGATCCAGGCTGCATTCCTCAGCCCTTCCCGAGTGTAGGGGTTGGGGGTGGGGTGGGGGACCCAGAGGAGGGCCCAGCCCCAACAGTCACCCAGGCTCCGTGGTTGAGGCCCTGCTGGAACCCCCTGGAGGCAGGCGCTGCCATGGTGAAGCACAAAGAACCCTACCACCCACAGGACCCTGCCAAGGGCCAGGCGCCGGAGCAGGACAAGATCTGCCCACACCCACCTTGAGACCAGAGTCCGCCTAGACCCCCGCTTTGGCTTGCACGGAATTCTGCTTTGCTGCTTTATTCAAATTAGACCGGAAACGGCAGTCTGTACTCTTAACAGCACCCAGCACGTCTGGACAGCGCACCAGCCCCTCTGCACACAGTGGCTCAGAGCCCCACCTGAGCCTCACCGTCCGCCTAGTGTCTGGAGACACGCAAAGCGACGACCCCCCTCCCCCCCCGAAGCAGGTGGATGCTCAGCGGAGAGGCAGAGACAAGGAAGCTAGAGCCAGGCCTGAGGCTGGGGGTCGGGCAGGACAGGTGCCTCTGCCCAGAAGGCAGAGAAGAGTGCCTGGGCTCCTCCCGCTCCGCCCAGGCCAGTTCTCTCTGGGCCCAGGGACGCGCAGGCAGGCGGGCGGGCAGGCAGGTGGACAGGCGGGCCTGAGGGCGAGGATGCTTAAGGTCAGTACCTGTGGCGGTTTCCATTTGTCTCCCGCTGCCACCACTGCCGCCGCCGGCTCGGACCCCCCTCCTTGCTGGCCATTGACCTGCTGCAGGCAGGAAGGAGATGCTGTAATGGACAGTCACAAGACCCACCCACCCAGGCCCTCTCGCCTTCCCCAGCTAAGGGCTGAGCTCCCCGGGGCGAGACAGGGAGGCTGGGCAGGGGCACAGGAAGGGCCCAGAGCTGGCTTGGCCCTGCACGTTTCTGACACGAGTCCTCTCCGCCCTGCCCATTCCTCCAGCACCCCTACCGCTGCCCAGGGCCCTGGCACAAACCACAGTGGAATCTGGGGCAGCCTGCAGTTGGCAGCCGTCCCCAGGAGGGGAAGGGTAGGGGCAGAGCCAAGGAAAGGCAGCTCAGGTCTTAAAGATCAGTTCCTTTCCTGCCAGCAGGACAAGGGGCACCTCTCGAGCACTCTGCACACACGCCTGGGCCGGCCACAGCTTAGCATCAGTCCCAGTGCCTCCCACAGGCTCTGCCCAAGCCCAGGGCCCTGGCCCCTCCTGGAGGCACCTCTGTGTCCTCTGAATTGCAGGGCCATGCAGGGGTCTGCACATGCAGGGGCTCCCCTTGCAGTCACACTGTCCAGGGCCATGTCACTCTAGAGGGCAGCTGAGAGCTTGGTCACAGCCTGAACCCACACCACAGGGGCCACGGAGCCCTGCCACGAAGCGTGACTGCAGGAGCAGCTCCCCATGGCTTAGCAGGGAAGGGGGACAGGCAGCCAAGGTCAGAACACAGGCCGTGGTGGGAGGACCCTGAGGCCCAGGTGCACAGTGGGAACCAAGAGCAGACGCACTCACGCGCTCACGGATGAGACCCACAGGGACCCAGGAACACAGGCTGGCCGTGCCCACCCTGGGAGCCTGTGCAGACAATACCAGAGGCTGGGATGACGCGGCCAGTGGTAATGAAGCTGTGGCTCCCAGCCCTGCACCTGGCCGACAGCCACTCCGACCCGGCACCACGGCAGGTACGAAATGGTGTCCCAGAGTCAAAGAGCGGGGATCCTCTCTGACGCGAGCCCACCAGGGGGTGCATGGCAGCTGGACCTGAGTCAGAGGCAGACCTCACCCCACGTCCCAACAGCCCACACCCAGAGCAGAGGCTGCGCTCAAGGCCCACAGCAAGCGCTCCCTTCAGGTCTGAGGAAGCATCCAGCCCGAGACCCGCAGGGGGCCAGCCGGAGGGCGCGCTCATAAGCCGCTTCCGCTCTCCCCAGTCACCGTGACGGCCGCACAGGGACAGGCAGGGTGAAGGCAGGAGCCTGGGAGAGCCTCCGGGGCTGCTGCGCCTCTGAAACTAGCTCAAAGCACTGCTGTCTGTGAGCTGTGGCTGAGAAGTGAAACCTAAAGGCAAAATTAACAACAAAAACACCTCTGTCCTAGTATAAGCGTGTTTTCAGTGGTCACATAAACGTGGTCCTGGGGGTGACACTTCCACACGTAACATGTGAGTCACCGCACCACTTAGAGGTGTGTCTTCGGCCTCGCTGGGTAGCTCAGCTGGTTAGTGGCGTCTGATATGCTAAGGTTGGGGGCTTGATCCCCAATCAGGGCACGACCAACAACCAACCAACGAATACATCGATAAGTGGCACAACAAATGGATGTTTCTCTCTCCCTCCTTTCCCCTCTTTAAAGTCAATTAAAAAACAACAAAAAATTGCCTTGGCTGGCTCTCTCAGTGGTTAGAGCAGGGGGGTCTTCAAACTTTTTAAACAGGGGGCCAGTTCACTGTCCCTCAGACTGTTGGAAGGCTGGACTATAGTTTAAAAAAAAACTATGAACAAATTCCTATGCACACTGCACATATCTTATTTTGAAGTTAAAAAAAACAAAAAGGGCCCTAATTGGTTTGGCTCAGTGGATAGAGCGTCGGCCTGCGGAATCAAGGGTCCCAGGTTCGATTCTGGTCAAGGGCATGTACCTTGGCTGCGGGCACATCCCCAGTAGGGGGCGTGCAGAAGTCAGCTGATCGATGTTTCTCTCTCATTGATGTTTCTAGCTCTCTATCCCTCTCCCTTCCTCTCTGTGAAAAAATCAATAAAATATATTTAAAAAACAAAACAAAACGGGAAAAACACAATATTTGTATTTTCATGTGGCCCGTGGGCCGTAGTCTGAGGACCCCTGGGTTAGAGCATCAGCCTGTGGACCAAAGGGCCACAGGTTCAATTCCTGGTCAAGGACACATACCTGGGCTGCAGATTCAATCCTGGGCTCCGGTTGGGGCTTGAGCTCAAGGCAACCAATTGATGTGTCTCTCTCATGTCAATGGTTCTCTCTCTCCCCCCTCCCCTTCTCTCTAGAAATCAATAGAAAAAAATATCCTCAGGTGACTTAAAAATGAGATAAAAATAAGTTATTAAGTAAATGCCCAGGGCTCTGGGGTAAGCAGACACGGAGCCCGAGGCCACTGCCCTCCTCCGGCCTCGAGTCCGAGGCTCTGTGCGCACAGCAGGCAGCAGAGCCTGGAGGTGGATGATTCCACAGAGCACCCCGAGCCGGGGAGCCCGGGGGCAGGGCAGCTGGGCCGGCGCCAGGCCTCAGGCTCTGACGCCAGGCCTGTCACTGGGGCCGGCTGGGAACTAGCGGGTTACCGTGTGCGTGTCTGTGCGTGTGCGTGTGCGTGTCGTACCTAAGAGAGTCCCTGCCGTGAAGTCGTGTCAAAGCTCAGACAGCCCAGCTGCCTCCGGCCCGGTCCTCGCCCAGCAGGAGGCCCGCCCACGCCCCGGAGCAGGAGCAGGAGCAGGGCCGTGTGGATGGGGGTGAGGCAGCGATTCGCTCAGCCCACCTCAAGGATGAGGCCACCGCGGAGCCAAGGCCCTCACGCCTCAC